AGAATATTTTTTAATGCAACTTGACTACAACACAGGCTCGCCTTCTAAGCCTCTGGAAGTAATTTGTTTTGTAACTTAGTCAAATGATGGAATCCTACCTACAAAATATATATTGGCTCAATAAGCAATAAAGTACAAACATCTATGTGGTACCTATGATGATAAAAGTGTTTTTTCACCTTCTTACAAAACTAATTTTACATAGTACTTTAAAATATTTTTCTTCCTGCAGAGAAACTTGTAATGGCAAATTTATTTAGTGGTATTTCCTGAATGAAATCCAGTAACAGGCAATTATGCACTACTTTTCCTTCTAAACAATTGTCATTAAGCCAGCTTGCAGGAGCAACCACGTAGACCTGGACTGAGTATTATCGATCCTGATGTGACATTTGAAAATGGTATTTCTCATTTATTGAATGTATGGTGGCACTGCAGTCCTGTCACACACTAGAATCTATTATATAGCCTATCTGCTTATATAGCTGTTCAGTGATAGGTCTAAAAAACACTGGGTGGAGAAAAATTGTTGTCTGTACTTTCACTAGGAAGCTAGTGGATGGGCAGAAGTTTTCACACTCTTTCTTAAAGGGAGGAATTTCTAGGTAATGTGAAAATCTTTGTCAATTTAGTGTTTTTAAGACAATCTGTTTTTCTGTTCTGATTTTCTAGTGAGAAACCCTTTTCTGCAGATACAGCATGTCAACCAGCCTACACTTATTTTTATATTAAATGCCATCTTTTTGTTGTATTGATCCATTATTTATTGCCATTTACTGCCAATGTGAAACAAAAACATCAAGTTCTCCTTTTTTATATATACAAGACATTAAGATGTTTGAAAAGTATAACAAACTGGATGTTATTTATTAACATATTATGAAATGTTTTGATCAAGTATGTGCTTGTCTATTAAAAACATTTTGGAATGTGGATCATGTTCCTGTGAATTGTTTTACTCCTTTATTTTCACCTGTAGATGCTTATGTTGCTGTATATAAATGGATTTAATTCATATAACAAACATTTTTGAAATTACACCAATGACTAGCTTAGTGTATCAAATTTATTATTTTAAAAGTCCAGCTAACTCAAGTTTATGTTGAAACACAAAGGAACTCTTAAGCTTCATCTAGTTCAGCAACATTAAAAACCTATTCAGCTTAAACACCTCCTCTAACTGCTGAGTTTTACGATGCATGAAAATGAGACCTGCTTTGTATCAAAACTACTGAATCCAGATAAAGTTTTCCCCTTCTTTCTTTTTGATGCTATCAGGAAATAACACTTTTATTCAGGTGTATCAACAATTTTTTTTCTTTTTTGTAAATCTGCAGTAAGCCCATTGAACTGTGAATAGTCCAAAAGATCTGTATATATTAAAAACTTCAAAGAACTCAGTCCATTTGATTTGTATTTATTCGTTGTAGAATAAATGGTTCAAGATGTGGACGGATCTTGTACACATACACAAAATATGACGACATGGGGGTGGTCATCCTGAATCCATTTTTTAAAACATAAGCCCACAGAAGTCTGTGGTCTCTTTCTGCAATTCTCTGAATGCATATTCTGGGGAACCTTGAGATGACACTTCCTTGTACAATCACTCTGTTTCACGGAATTTTAGAAGATGTCAAAATGACACACTCTTCTATTTATAGCTTTCTTGTGCTTCCACACTAATTCTTTTTTTCCTTATAAAAGAATATCTGCTATTGCCTTTGGATTGCTTGCAATGCTACCAATGTCCTCTTGGTATGAATGGTCAAAGAAGCAATAAACTAAATTGATATAAATGATCTACCAATTCTTCTTTTTCAGAGCAGTTTAAATCTTGAATATTATGGTGTGTGCAAAAAAGAGGTGTTTGTGAAGTGAATGGATACCTACTTCTTTTCTTGAAAACGACTATCACCACCACCCTATTTTATGAAGGGACAAATTATGCAGATGTGTGTTTTTCTTGTCATGTAGGTGTGGACATTTAAGGAAACTTTCACTTGTAAAATGTATGTAATATTTATATTATAGAGCCAGTGAAAATTCCCAGGGTCAAATGGCCATACTAATGCATGGATAGTGCTGAGAAGTAAGAAAAAGAAAAAAAGAAAAAGAAAAATATATACTTTTTCTTTTTTTTCCACACTTTTTTCTTTTCTTTTGGATTTTTGTTTGTATTTTTTGTAGCCCGTATTGGCTTTTATTCTTTTCATTTACAAATCTTAAATTATTTGAAAAAAAAGTGCTGAGAAGTAGAGCAAAAAGCACAAAACAGGCATTTATAATTCATGGATTTATTTTCTATAGCACCCAGTGGTAAGACCAGAACTAGTGAGTGGAAGCTTTACAGGGGGAGATCCAAACGTGAATAAGGAGGAATTTCCTGATTTTCAGAGTCACTAAGAAAAGAAATTCTTTTACCTTAAAGAATGGAAACTATTGATGGACTATTTGCAAAATGCAGGCAGGGCGAAGCTTACATGGGGATTTGAAGATTAG